ATAATATAATAGGGATATGTTCAAGCCAGAGGAGGTTATGGAAAACTGGAGGAGGAGAATTTACCTGATTTCATTTGAGGTGATCAGGCTAGGCTTGTGGAAGCGACAATGCCTACTAGGAATCTTAAAGAATTAGTAAATATGAGCTAAACCAAAAAAGCAGTGAAGGATAGTCTGAACAGAAGGAACATTGTGAGCAAAAATAAGTAAGTGCTAGAAACGGCAGCCAAGGGGTTGCCAAGAATTGAAACTAGAGAAACAGGCAGATGTCAGATTATGAAGGACCTTATTTAGCAACCATGGAATTCACTAGGCATTTGGGAGCCGTGGAAAGTTATTTTTAAGAAAGTGATATGGCTAGATTTGTATTTTAGATTGAGTACGCATAGCTGCAGGTTGGAGAAAAGCTGGCCAGGGGCCCTGGAGGCAGGGTTCTTAATTAGGAGGCTAGAGTGCTCCAAGTGAGAAATGATGGAGGCCTGTACTGTGGCAGAGGAAGGGGGATGAAGAGGAGGGAACAGGTCTGAGAGATATAGGTGACTCACAAATGACTCTCAAGTTTCCAGGTGGGGTGACTGCCTCCGATTCAGATAGAAAACAGGAAAAGGAACACATTTAGGGAGATGATTGAATCCGTTTTGGTCTTTTGATATGTGTGGGACATACTGGTCAAGATTTTCAGCAGAGAAGCTGGATGTGCAATTTTGAAGCTCAGGGAAGAAATAGGAGCTAAAATTAAATGTCTGGGAGCATGTGAAAATTGAGGCTGTTTAGAGCATATTGAGCAAAATAAGAGATCCAAGGATAAAACATTAAGGAACACTAATGGCAAGGGGTAAGTTAATAGGAATCTATCAATGAGACAGAAATGAAATGTTAGGAGGGGAATTAGGTGAAGTTGTACTCATTAAGCCAAGGAAATTCATGATTTTAAGAAGGATTGCATTTTAAGGTGGTGGAAGGTTAGGACTGCCACATATGGAGCCAATGAATAAGAGCTGAGTTAGTAACTTGTATTTTTAAATAGACTTGTATGCTTTTCTCCTGCTAATCTGTCTTTGTCAGTTTACTTTTCAGGCCCACCCAGTGGCCCCAAGAGGAAAACATTTTTTTCTACCCAACACTTCCAATTCATTAGCCATGTCACTTAAATTCCTTATATTCCTCTAGAAACTGGGGGAGTAGTTCCTCACTGCTTCTTATACTGCATGGGGTTTTTTTGGAGATCAAATAAAATAATGTATATAAAATACAATAGTGTTTTTGCTAAATATAGAGCACTTGTGAAGATTCAGTGTTATTACTCTGAAGCAAAATATGAGTATATTGAGCTTTCTACACCCCGCCTTTCCCATCTCCCTCCTCCTTCCCCCACTCCCAAGGCGCCTTACCTTTACCCTTCTCTCTCCTAAGCTCCAAGGGCCCTTCTTTGGCCTCTGTAACTTGTTTCCTGAGCCCATTTCTTCTACCACTCACTTCTCCTACCTCTGTGACTTTCTAAATAAACTTTCTCTTATAAAAAAAAAATTGAGTATAGTAAATACAATTATCTACAATATTTTAGGGGAAAAATAAGTCTAGAATAAAGCCAGTTTCGGTAAATACATTTTTTTGTTATTGTTTTTTTTGTTTTGTTTTGTTTTGTTTTTAACTTGCTTCTCCTATTGTCATTTTTTTTTTTTTAAGGCTTCACATTTTGCCAATGTCTGACATACAAGGAATTTGAAAAACACAAGGAAAGGACAACTCAGTTTCTTCACCAGTTGGCTCTTGAGATTACTAGTAACCCCCGCATCTCTTTGAAACAAAGATAGAAATTCAGGAGTTTCAAAAATATCTGGAAGCTGTGCATTAACATTTCTGTGGCAGAAAACTACAATTTGTAAATGTAAACAAATCTCGGGTGTTTCCTCAAACTACCACACTGACACCTCAGGGACAGAATAGCCTCCAAGCATCGTAAATGTAATCCTGCATAAAATGTCAAGGAAGGTGGTCAAAAGGTACAAACTTCCAGTTATAAAGTAAATGAGTCCTGGGATGTAATGTACAGCATGGCAACTATAATTAATAATACTTAATTATATAGTTGAACGTTGCAAAGAGAAATCTTTTTTAAAAATGTTAGGGAAGTTTTTAATTTTAAAAGGGAAGATAGGTTAAGTTCATGTATGCTGATGTACTTAATTATCATGCTGCTGAAGATGGTGTTAAATGTGCTACTAGAGATCTGGTACATATACTATCTTTAGGTTGATTTTCCCACAGAAAAGGCCATTTCAGACCTGATTTTCTCACTTTGATTTTCTAACTCAAAGAAATAAATGTTGAGACAAAACTCTTCTCACATATAATTTATATACATAATATTCAAGATTGAAAAACATGCACTTTCCTTAGCATATATAACTTTTAAGCTATCCCCTTGGGCTGCTATTACTTAAACACTGAATCATCTAAATAGTGTAAGACTAAGAAAGTAGATTTTAAAAGCCATAAATTTAAAATTCGTGAATATCTAAAACCATGATTTTGTATTCTCTACTTCTTTAGTCTATAGAGTATTTTATGGCTTTCTTCTTTCCTCTCTCCTTCCCTCTTTCTTTTTTTTTTTTTTT